AAAATTCTCACCTGGCGTTTGTGCACTGAATATACTGGTTGATCTTACCGTTTAACATACCTGTGCAGATAAAATACTTCAGCAGATCAGGAGGACTTCATGCAAGAAGTGCACAAGACCACATGTGCATGCACAATGCAAACTGAAGACTCAAATTTCATGCAAAGTAACTAGTAAATGCATGTTCAACATCTTTGAAAATTCAAAGCGTATCAGTTCCTAATGCTCCCAATCTGAATGTACTTGTTCTGAAAATAACAGAAGCTCTTTAGTACTTTGCATGAATTCAAACTACGGGCTATTACTCATGGAGAATAAACCTGTTGTGTCATCCATCTGTAACAGCCATCTGGGACAGATGTTTTAAATGGAAAGTGCCATGAGATTTAGGGTCCACAATCAACTTGTCTTACAACTTGATCATTCACCCTTTGAACGTCCCAATAAGAAATTATGGAGTCCCATCTGACTGAAGGAAGCAATACACATACTGTACATTGGCCTCCTTCCCTGATACATGAAGAGTCCAGAAAGCAGATCAATGCTATGCCCATACCATCCTATCTCATCTCACCCAAACCCTGCTGTTTGGAGAGCTGAAGCTCACCTGAATTTTTTATGGGCATGGAATTGACCATACATTACGTATGCAGAGTCAGACAGGCTATTTGTTTGCTCCATTTCCTTGCTACCAAGGACCTTAGATCCTTAAGCCATACAAATTCCCTTTAAAATGTGTTAATGATCAACAAGTAAATATATTTTTCATAAAATTCTGAAACAAGATTATTAGCTATTCACATCCAAGTTCTATGAATTTCTTTGCATGTCCATCTGGCAGACAGCTACATTATTTATTTGCTGTCACACTCAGTAAATTGATCTACTGGCATTTAAAGGTGTCATCTTTACTCATTACAATTTCAATGATCACTCCAGCACTGCCAGCATTGTACTAGTGACCTGAGTTCTGACAACAACTTTCAATCGCTGCTGATCACAAAACCTGCAAGATTGAATTTCACATATAAGGCAGTATGTGAAGAGACAGAAGAAACTGAAGGACTAGGCTGCTTTGCTTCAAAGTTCATTGATCTCTGTATGGTAACAATTTAATGAGAAAGTTAATGACTTAAGTGCAACATACGTTTTTTCGAGCTCAAGGTAAAACATCAGAACTGGTGACACTGTAATGTAGAATTAAGGTAAATGAGCTTCATAGACAAAAATGGGATTATATTATGCTCACAGTGATGAAAAAACTACCCAACTGTTTGCATGTCACAACCACTGCCCTCACAGTTGCAAGAGGAATGTGACCACATCCTCAGAGATAGACCATACTGCCCTGGAAAGTTTGGGGCAGATGTTGCTTACTCTCAGCCATGTCTTCTGCATGCTCTCCCCAGTATGCTTCCAAACTATTTTAGCCATATTTTTCTGCCAGAGACCAGAACTCCACTTCTGCCCTGAGATATTTCAGGCTGGCAAATAACAGCAGCCCCCTAGTCCCACACCAGTTGACTAGGGGAACCATTTAAAAAACAAGCAGTACCAATACAGTTTGGAAAATGTACCAAAACACAAGACATTCAAGATGCTCTAGACTATGTTCTAGCATACTCTAAGTGATACATGCAAGAGGTTTTCAAGAAAAGACACAATGAACAGCCAAGCTCCCTAGGAATACACAGGCTGTTGCACGCTGCCGTGCTGTAGGTGTCCCCAATTTGCACGGTCTAGCATGGCCTCGCAGGCAAACTGCTTCATAACCATCAGCATCGACTGAGGCACTTCTGCTGAGAAAATGACCACCAGCATATTTTTCAGGCACCACTCTGCAAGCCAGGGAGTGCTCAAAAAGATGTGACAGCACTGTGGAAAAGAAAGGACGTACAAGTAGAGGTCAAGACCTAGTATGAGCACGCACATGTATTTCAACTGGAAATGGAACACCAGCTGAAATAACATCACCTTCCATTCACTGACACTCCTGGGCGGCACAGGAACTAAACACAGCAGTGATCTGCAACTCACAGCCACACACATATATATAACCACAGTCAAGCCAAACCTCAGGAAAAGTTGGAATTTTGATCATGTCTCACTAGAGAAAAACATAATTAAAACTATTACGCTTGGAAAACTGCCAGCTCTATGAATCTGACAAAGACATTTATGATAAAAGAATAATAATGTCCAGTAAAATCCCTGTACATAAAAGCACTAAAAGAGTTTTATAGACAGAAATCCAAGGGAAGAACATTTTAAACAAGTTAATGTACAACTTCTATAGAAAAGGAGTAGCATGACTTTTCCATTTCATAAACTGAAGTTTAACTTCACAGCTATCTGTACCCTATCACACTTTTCCTGTCAGACTAAACATCTCTTGTTTTATTACAGGTCAGAGTAACTTATCTTGTGGGATATTTTTGATGAAAATGAGCTCTCGGCTTCAGTAAAAAAAGCCCAATGTCCTTTCTGTGATAGCTAATTTTGACACTTCAATCCACTTTGCATTTCTGTCCTTTGAAGGATGCCTAACATGAGAAGGAATCCATATCACCATCCACCAACAGGGGTGCATTACAGTAAGACATATTGACATGCTTGCTCTTTTTATTGATCCACGCAGCAGGTTGTTATGTGAGGTAACATTAACAGAAATGTCACGTTACTTAAAGAGAAATGAGTATTTCACAGTTTTTGGAAAAAACATTTGGCAGAGTGCTGCCATCTGCACCAATATTTGAAAACCAAGCTACTCAAATATGCATAATTTACTTAGTCTTATCAAGATATTTGAAAATTAGAGGCTTTTTATTACATTTTCCAAAGAAGCATCACTTTGCATATTGAGTATTATATCCATCTGGAAAACTGACACTTGAAATCGCCTTGCCTTTTCAAGTCCATACCACCTTGTTATATTGGGCTCTTCATACATACTGAGCATATGACTTCTGGAAGCTGCTTTTGGGAAATAAGGGTAAGGGGAGACAAAAATTACAAAGATTGCTCAAAGGATGACAATAAGAATTTTAAGTTTCTCAAAAATTTGTATACTAAAGCGCTGTGATGATTTCCTGCAATATTTCCCGTTTATTTTAGAATCAGACAGAAAAGAGTACCTTAGATGAACCTCTTTTCTTGAATAGGTTCAAGAGCTTCAAGAAGTTAAGAATTTCACAGTTGATTACGCTGACAAACAATCCCAATTTTGGACCAGTCCAAGCAGTAAGTGACATAAGAAAATAATTTCGAACACACATGCACTGGAGCCTCTTTGGGACTGCACCTGTTAGAGCCCAGAAACTGGAGACAAAGACTGTACCCACTCATAGTTTGAGGAAAACATCTTCTGCCACCCTGCCTCTGTGCCTCCTCCCACAGATTTTAACTAAGCAACATAGCTGCCTCTAAACCTTCTTAACTGGAGCACTTTATCTAACTACAACGTTTAAACTACAAAAAGATTCTTTCCATTTTATCCTGAGCCTCCACTGAACAGCACACCTGAAGCAGACATCCAGGAAAGGGAGCAGCCTGTAAGAAAGAAAACTCCTGGAATGACTCGTTAACAGCGCAGTCAAAACCAAATGTGCCTTATTAGAGTATTGTTATACTTTACTGTAACAGATCAGTGACATAGTCAGGGTAAGGCTTTGGAAAAAGGTAGCTGCAAAGTCCTTCTACATAGCCTGGAAGTTTCTAGTACCAGCTCACCAGACCTTTCTGGACATTTACTAAGCTCTGGAAGACTATAAAGTATAGACTTCAGAGGACTGTGCTGCTGTGTGTTCTGAGTTGCTGAGCAAACTGTAGGAGAGGGACTGTGAAGCAGAAATGAAAAAGAAATCTCAAGCCAACTTAGCCGTTTGCTCTAGAAAAACAATAATTTTCCAGGAAAATGTTCTAAACAGCTGAACCTTATCAAGAGGCTAGATGCGAACCGTTCATCCAAGGAATGCTCAGTAATAAGATTAATATGCACTTTACTTTAGGAGGTTTGAACATGACACTATCTCCCATCTTCAAATCTACTTTTCTGGATTTCTTTGTGCATGGTATTTACAGTGTCCACTTCCGTTCTTAAGGTATCAGCAGAAAGAATATCTTCTTTGAGCAAACAGATTTGTACAGACTGTAGAAATTTGCCAAATGTTGATTTTGTTAGGGCTGAGCTTAGAATTTCAATCTTGTTTCAGTTTCACATAGCATGAACTTTTACAAACTGATTTGTAAAACAAATGTATTATATTGCATGAAAAGAAGTGAATTGTACTACTTCAAATAATAAATTGAAACATCTGTGACAATTGAGTATTTGAGAGCAGCAGAAATATATACTTAAGGGTAAAACAGTACACTAGGAAAAATGATATTGTCCTAGAAGGGTCTGTCTGAACACATAAGGAAACACTTCTTTATCGTGAGGATGACTGAGCTTGGAGCAGGTCACCCAGAGAAGTTGTGGAGTCTCCATCCTTGGAGATATTCAAAAGCCATCTGGACATGGTCATGGGCAGCCTGCTCAAGCAGGGGGGTTGGACCAGGTGACCTCCAGAGGTCCCTTCCAACCACAACCATTCTGTGCTTCTAAAATATTTCTCAAAATAAAGCCCCTTATTACCATCCAAAAAGGTAGTCAACTTGTATAATTCTGGAACTAATGAAAGCTAGCATCAGATGTGCTTTGGCACATCTCTCCTGGAGAGGTAAATCGGATCTCTCCATGTTCTCACTGACAACTCACTCGGGCAAGGTCACCCGCAGACACCTGGCTGGCCCTGATGTGGTAATATATAACAGCAGTCAGCCAACTGATCTAGAAAGTTTTATTCTACAAGTCTTTTCTTCAGTGGCACTTTCAGTCAGGTCTCTCCCCATTCCATGTCTATCAGTCTTTACAAAACTTAGCCTAATACCTTTATGTCTATGTTTTATCAAACTGGAAGAAGCCATTATACAAGTTATAAGTGAGGAAACTGACAATCCAATATACGAGCCCTTATTTCTGTGGAAACCAAGTTAAAAGCATGTTACAAGAAATGCAGTCTTCTGCTGAACAATGTTTGTGTAAAGCATACTAAGCATCCAAGAATTACAGGATAAGCATTACCTGCTTGTAGTTCTCCGGTTGTCTAACAAGATCTGTTTCTGTGACAGAAAAATGTCCCAGGATCTGGTCCATATGGGAGCCACTAGTGAATATATGGATCTGGAATAGATTAATTTAAAAGATATTTGTCAGTACAAGGACCAGATCATTAATAATATCATTAGCTACCACCTAATGGCTGCATGGATTGGAATGGTGATGTGAACCAGTGGTTACAAGCTCATTCCCAATGGACAAGTACAAATGTAACTACTACCACCAATACAACAGGCCCTTTTAAAACAGTCTGCAGGAAATGATGATCATGCACCACAATCACATCACAAAATGGTCCATCTGGTGTTGTTACCAGAACCACATGCAGGAATTGCTACTGCTGCCACCACAGTAAAACTGAAAGACTTCTCTTTTCATCCTGTCTTAAAGTCTTTTTCCTTATACTACACATGCTCGTGTGCATAGCATGAAAGGACAAACCATTTACACAGACAGTAGAAGTCTTCACAGAGGTAAAGGATACCCTCAAACCAATTTTTTATTTCTTCCTTTAAAGCAGAAAATGCTACCTAGTTACAGTAAGTTTCTCTTGTGCTGCTATATATTGTTGGCTTTCACTTACTGGGACCTTGTCCCAGCTGCACTGGTGATGGTATCATCAATTACTTGACAAAGAAGCTTCCCAAGTTAGTCAAGGGAACAATAAAAAGCAATTCCTCCTATTCAGAGCTGATCCCTTTGTTACTGTAATAACTGCAGCTGCCAAACAAGATAGCAGTGCACATTTGTCAGACAATCGCTCATATTTCATTAATATTTCTGCCAGAAGACAGAGAATGTTTCCTGCTTTTCTTCCTTTATTCTAATATGAACTTTATCATACACTTGGGTATTGACAACTATTTTAAAGTTGACAGGCACTGGGTAATTATCAACCCTTCCCCAAAACTTCAGAATATTTTAGCATTCCTTTCCCAAAACTCACTTCTGGTGACAACCATCTGTCACATGTGCAGAGCTATGCGAGTTTAAAAATAAAAGAGCACCTCCCCACTCAATGTTCTTCCTTTCTACTTGCCACTCCTCTCCCTGCTACATTCTTGCGTAACTCTGGCTGCCAAACCTTTGGGCCTCGAGCACCAGGAATGAATTTCAGCCCCTCTTCAAAAGTATGCTGCAGCAGCATCACTGGCTGAAACCCAAACCAAATACTCTAAAGCTGTAACAACAGAGGAATAAGGTGTTCCCCTGAGACCAGACTAGATGGATACTGGAATAATCCAGTATTTGTATTTTTACAATCTGTTACTGATAACCACAACATACTGAAGAGGAAACAAGGCTTAAAGAGGGAAAAGTACCAAGGTAAAAGAAGTCGGTGAGAGCAAGAGAGAACATGTATAGCTGTTCCTTCATGGCACTGGAATGGACTGAGGTGCAGGCAAGTCTGATTTAACCTTACACTAACCTTTGAGTGGGAGTACAGGCACAGCCCCCCACTGAGCACCACTTCTGGGGAGTTTCCAGTACCAGTTCCTAAATGCCCTTGAGCTTAGACACCCCGCAGGGAGATCAGCTTGTCTAGTCACCTAAGAGAAGGTGAAAAGGGGGCTTGTTCATAATTCACACACACTTGCACGAGATGAAAAACTTCTACTGCATTAAAGAGTGTGCTGTTGAGAGCAAACGGCAAATTCACTCTAGAAAAAACCAAAGATTTTCAAACCAAATATCTCAAGACACAAAAAAAATGTAATTAACCAATGTAGTAATTTACAGAGTAATATGGTAGATTCTTCATGCCGAGATACAGATGCATCTAACAACTGCAGTTTAGCTCACTCATAAATTACTGACAATGAGGTAATCATCCAGCAACAGGCTCTGCCCTCTGTTATTCAGAGATCAAGACTTTTTCCTTGTCCCTTTCCTCTTTTATTACATCAGATATATAGATATGACCAATCCAATGTAATACATCTTATTTTATATTGTTTGTCTTAGAGGAGGCCCAAGAAGCCACTCTGTTCATAGGAGGTATTTCCCAGTGCTGCTCTGCATTCTTACTGACAGAATACAACTCTTGCTCTTACAGTTTCCAAGCATATTAAGACCATTATTGTCACTTTACTATGATCTGATAATGCCAGTTATGTCAAATTCTTCTATCATCAAGAATTCCATTTAATATCATTTTATTCTTACTAACCCATAGGCATAGTCCACAATCAGATGTTCACCTGCTTAACAAAATTCACCTGTGAAAATGATCTAAGCCTCCCCTATTTCAGGTGTAATTTTTGTCCTAGTCTTTTAGTGGATGGAGGGTAGCTGAAAATAGCCACAGGAAATCCATCAGTTTTGCAGAAACTCACTTGTTCCACTATTTCTTTTCACATGCTGATTGTGGTACAGTGCATTTAACAGACCCAAAAAACAATGCCAGTTTTAAACTATACAAGCTCCTACCTGTTTTTCTGAAATTATGCAAGGCTTCTCATTCACATTTTTTAAGGTAAAGTGGTAATTCAAAGCCTAACTAAAAACAGCTGCTCTCCCCTATGAATTCAAGAGGCAGCAAAAACCAGACAGATACATATTCCTCTAGCACTTGACAGAAAAAGGAAGAAACAGAATAGGAGGAACCAAGAGGCGTGCCTTAAGATGGTAATTTATCCCTCATGCTTCCATATATTTGAAGGTATATCAGGTAAATATGTACCACTGAGAATTTCAAGGGAATTATAATGGTATTACTATATTATACTTTCCAAGCAGGCCAACCTGTCCATGTTGAGAAGCCATTATAACGCTATTCAACAGCTCATAGCCTCAGGCTGCAAAATTCCTCAGCAACAGAGAGGTTAAGATTTCCCTGAGGAAGTCTTCCTCTTAGAGCAGGACGTGTGCGTGTCTGTAAGCTTCAACATGCCTTCCAGGAGCTGAAGTCACTGAAAAGCAGCTCATCAGAAGAAATAGCAAAGAGGAACAGCCAGTCAGACCACCTAAGCAGCAATTCCCAACACATGACTGTCTGTAGCTCCAGGGAGGCTTCCCTCTTCAGTAACTTGCACTGCTTACTGCAGAACTTCGTAACATCGACCTTAAGTGGCTGCAGGCAGGACAGAGTAGGTAGAGGCCCCAGCAATCAGTTTCAGTTATCATTTGTGTACTTTAGAGAAAGAACAGCCATTTATTTTTGCCTGTTTCCCCTTCGTATTTCCCTCCTGCTGCTCTCTTACCTTTTCTTCAGGCAGTACAGTACTATTTCACTAAGACATGAGTCATCACTTCTAACCTGAAAGTACATGTCCCTAATCACCCAAGCGATTCAGAATTTTTTCACAAAATCATAGAAACAGAAAAGACCTTTGGAGGTCTTTAGTCCTACCTCCTGCTCTAACAAGGACTATCACCACACCAGTTTGTGGCTTTATGTATGTTAGTCTTGGAAACCTCCGAGGACGGAGACCATTTAGTGTCTCTGATGCTCCAACGCTGCTCATCATCCCAGAGAAGCTTTTCCTAATATGCCTGAACCTGCCAAGTTATAATCAGTGGTCTCTTCCTCTTTGACAGTGGATCCACCTTTGTCACTACCATCCTTATAACTACCCATCAAATAGCTGCAGGCAGCTATTACGTGACCTCTCCCTCAGCCTCCTCCTCTCCACCAGAGCAAACAAGCCCAACTCCCTCCACCTCTTCTTGGAGGTCATGCCCAACTTAGCAAGTCCTTGACTATCTTGGTAGCCTCTTGCTGGATCCTCTATGTACAAGTCTTACTTCCAGTAGCAATACCCACACTAAAGAAAAATACAGAGTAGAAAAAGCAGTCATCTCCTGAATAAGAACATATTTTCTAAGTGCGATGTGTTTTTTCTCAGAAAGCCCCAAATAGAGAATATGATATTTTAGAGCCTGTGTGAGTCACAGAATGAAATCTGTGGAAGTGTCGCCACTACTTGGCAAAACTTAGAGCTCGTGATCTGCAGTAAATAAGACTGTTCCACAGTTGAGATACATAACCTGTTAAGTTATTAAACAGAGTGAGTAAAAGCCGTAATTATCATTTTGTAGAGAAAGCCCTCTGTAAATCTGTCAGCGTAATTAAAAAACATAACACTCATTAGCCTTTTGCATACTGTGTTTGTGGTTTATATGAGAAAAGCAGCAGCTCATATAGAGGTCATGTTGGGTCAGCTCAGTCTTCTAACACACAGACTAGTTTAAAAGTTTTAAAATTAATGCAGTAGCACAGACAATTTCTCTATAAGAGTCAGGAAATACCAGCTATTGTTTATGCAGCTGTTAAATTGTATAAGTATGTTATATTTTGTGTTACCGTAAATGTTAACATTAATGTGGCACTGTAATGAAGTCCCTTCCAAAGTCACTTTTACCTTTCAATTTTCCTGCTCTTAATTCAGACTAAAATATAAATCAGAGCACTGCACTTTATTACAGCTCTGAACAGAACTCCCACAGTTGCACATATGTATTTGAGCACGCAGAGTATCAGTACGTGATCACATACAGAGGAGTTGGGCTCCAACCTATCTTCTGTGATGGCACCCTCCACATGCACTGCAGAATATAATCTGATCGTAACAATCATCACCAGCACCGCTGATTGCTTTCCATTTAGTCCAGTGATGACTGTTGGAGAAGGCAGTAATGACAGCTTTGGGAAACTGGATGAACAGAGAGAGACATTCTCCTTCCTGCTTAATTCTTCCAGATTCTGAAAATCGTGGTCCAGGGAACTGCAGTATAACTAACCTGTCTCGTATATTTGCCTGACTGTAACAGTCCTAACTTTAGCAAACATTTTTCCTTGGATAGCCCCAGGGGAAAAGAAGTCCAAGTTTACTTCAAAGAACAATCCCCATAGGAGGTCATCATCTGCCCTGTCAATAAGTTTAGCATGTTGCCCGGTCAGCACATCTCTTCATCATTTCAGTGCCTGATCTGGACCATTGAAAGTATCTCTGTTTGTACTCGAGCCCCCAGGTTCAACCAGCTCTTAATTCTTCCTTGGTCTCATTAACTGCAAGCTGAGGTATTGAAGCTGTCTAATGATTTGTTACTGCCGAGTACTACATAAATCAGAGCACTGATGATCAGTTACAGAGGTGTTTGCCTCACCTACTATAGAAATCAGCAACCTTAAACAGAGGTAGCTTATCAAGGGGAGAAGCAGCCAATCATTTCATTTGAGTCTTATATCACCAAGCCCCCTCTCCCAAAGGCATCACTGTCTGTAACCTCAATGCAAAACCCAAGGACTGCACCTGCACTTATGGAGAATTGCTGTCTTCTTTCCCAGATCAGGAAAGCACTTTCACAGTGGGCAATGAGAAGCAAAAGGTTATTTTAGATGCTGCACACATAGCACCTGATCTTTCCAAATCAGACATCTTCTACAGCAATCAATTCATGTAAAGAACAAAATGTAATCTCATTACAGTTTTCAGCACTGCTCTTCTGTCAGACACAGGATTAAAACCAAGGCAGCATCTTCATTCAAAACCCTCTTGTTCAGATTCTGACAACTTTCTGATAAATTGTTGTTCTTTGAGGAAAAATTTCTCAAAACTGTTCTTAGTCTCTAAAAGGTTTTCTGTGAAGGTTCTGGGTACAATACCAAATGGCTCCAAATAAGTTACCTGAAGAGACAGGAAAGGAGAAAGGGGGCCTAGAGAAAATATTACTGAATAACTTTTAGGACTATCTTTAGAACCATTTTGTTAAATTTGTCTCTGCTGTCACCATCACTGTCAACTTTGGGACTGCAGGCTGTTTTCATCTTAAGCAGGCATGATGCTCCCAGATGTCTGTGATTTTCAGACAGGCATATAAACGTCATGCATAAGCGGGAACAGAACTGGAATCTTACCAATGTAGAGACCACGATTGATTCCTGATTTAAAAGCAGGTAGATTTTGGATTCTGCTCAGGTGTTCTCCAGTACTTTAGAAAGGGAAACTGCATTTTATTTATTTATTACTTTCAACATCCGTGCTCAATATTTTGAATCCACATTTCTGATGAACTTATAGTTCTGAATCACTACTTCCTGTCTGTGGGACCAGAATGCTCTGTCTTGCTTTTACCAGGCATTTTCTGAGAAAAATGGAGATAGTCTATGGTTGCAGAAGTGACTAACATGCCAGCCTGCAAGAGGGACTTTTATACAACAATTATGACCTTATGAACACTCTCCATACTTCATTTTCTCATGATTCTGCCCTGCTGGGGAAAGGTGGGGGTATTTATACACAGCGTAACTCGCCCTTATCCACAGAAAATGCAGAACTAGCAAACGAGTAGTTTGTACATTTAGCACTAGCTGACAAGGCTTTTAAATAATAAACAATGCCATAGTGAGTTAGAAGAATCATTTACCTTGTGCAAAAGTTTGCATTGTTCTTGGTGCTGAGCATGCAAACTCCGCCACTGGAACCTGAGTCTCCCATTTAACCACTGAAGGTATCGAACATCTACTCTGTCTTCTAGCCCATATTCAGGTGCTATTTCAGTTGTACCTTTCTGGCTGTTAGGCAGATCATCTTCACACTAAAAGCAGAAGAGAATATCAAAATGGTTTAAGTTAGCTTCAACACTTTCAAATCATTCAGTAGTGAAGCACACACAAGGCAAATAGGCCAAAGAGGAAAAGAGATTCCAAAAAAAGGAAGTTCCAGCAGTAGAGAGAAATTGTAATCTTTTAGAATATAGGACTGGAAATAGCCTAAACAAGTACTGAAATCTGGAATAAATATCAGCTTCTCAGCTATGATGTGGTGAGCTGTCTCCTCTTCTGTCTTTCATTTTCCATATCCAGTAAGACACAGTGTTCTTGAGACAGCAAGCATGTTCTTTACCCGGGGGGCGGGGGCGGAAATCATCACATTTTCACTAGATTCTAATATGTCAAGGAACACAAAAAACACATTTAGCTCCTCCAGTGTCTTCCCAGAAGTGCTGCAGGCTGTATTTGGTGACCCTACCTTGTAAATCAATTCCTTATATAGGGACAAAACTGTGGGCCCGTGCTTACCCACCTCTTTTCTCCATCCAGCATTTCCCTTCTTGCAGGATAGAGGAAAAGAAAGAATCATCCAGCTGACACTGCCCAGGAGTCCACAAAGGCACTCCCAGCTACAGTTGCACCACTCGTCTTGGCTTGTTTTGCCTCTCTAGAGTAATTTGGAAGGAAGAAGGGAGAAGAAAAGAGTCTCCTTTTGTTCATCTTGTCCCACTTTCCTCCTGCTGGGGGGGAGGGACGGGGGCGACCCAAAAAACAGCCACCTTCCTCTTATGGATGAAATTCCTGCTTGTCCAATGGCATAAAGCAAGCAAGACATTTTTGTGGTATCTCTTTCCCAAGGAACATGGAGGGAATTCCACCTCCTTCAGCCTCTTGCACAAAGACATCATTCACATTTACAAATAGATCTCTCCGTTTTCAGCTAAGACTCCTGCAGATTGCAAATTAAAAGGGGAGGAAGACATGGGTTGTTACACTTGTGATGCCAGTAACACCACTTAAAGTATGGCTGACAACTTCATCCAGCCTACAGAAAGTACATACAATAAACACAATCCATCATTCCAAATTTTTTTACTACAGCATATCACAAAAAGTAGAAATAATACAGAACTGCAAAGGCCTGGTTATTCAGAACTGGTGTTCACCAGCTAAAAAAGTGTCTCCCAGTTACTGGACTCTCCAGACTTTTCTTTAAAGTGGAAATTTAAAAAGCCTACTTGAAACATGACTGATTTCAAGGAAACACTTAAGCAGATATTTGGACGCATGGACCTTGATGGTATTTAAACGTATGTGCTTCCCTGCTTCACAGTCTTCCATGTTCAATAAAACCTTATAAAGATTCAGTTGGCAGGCAAAGCTTGAATGTAATTCCAATTTGGATCCTAAACTAAAAATGCAAACTGTAAAAGGAAGACAGTTAAATCTTGCCTTAAATGCAGATTTCAGCAGAAGTGTATCTATAACCATGATCAAATAACCCCCTAATGCTTGTTTTAACCTAAATATCAACTCAGTTGACAGAGCCTCTAATACAATGAGTGTTCATATTATTTATAAGCACAAAAATGCTGTTCTGGTCACACAACAAAATGTATTGAGATTACAGTTTTTTTCCCTTTCCTCTGTGGCTCAGATAAAGGCATGCTATAAATCATAGGGGTGCAGGGTTGGTAAAGGGCTTTTCCTTTTAAAGGCACAGATTCATCTTTAAAAAAAAAGAAAAAAAAGGACAGTATCTCCATTGTACCAACTGCAATGTCACTCTTTTTCCTCAGATGTCTTCAGCCCCGTGCCCCTAAATCAAAAGACACTGTGTCCTAGGGCGCTGCAGTCCTGGCTAAGTACCTTCATAGTGCAGATTGTCTCGCCTCCGCCAGGAGAGATTTCTGGACTATGAAACCATACAGACATGATTACCCAGTTGCCCATAAACATGATGAGCCAAGCAATTGGATATTAGTCACTACAGCAGAGAAAACGCATGTGTAAACAACATTAAAACACTTCACATAAGCAGCTGGAAAGCCCCAAGGCCAAAGACAGACTTGGGATTCTGAGATTAAAATCTACATTTTTCCATAATTTACAGTTCAACTCCAACTTCCTTGGTTAGGGGTTTCAGAACAGCACAGATACTGCTTTCCTGGGGATTCATTTCAGGAAACAATGGCATTAGACTCGATTGCTTTGGCAGTACAGTGACAAACACCACGCAGAGCTAATTTTATTGTAGCAACCAATCTTATTAATATTAAAATAAGGAAGCCAGCCAATGCATTTTTTAACAGGATCTCTCTATTATTTATTTCACAAACTGCACAAAAAATTTACTTTTGCTATGAAATACTTAGCCTGGCATAAAGTAAACAAGGTAAGAAAAAAAAAGGTCTTGCATATTATACCGTGACCTCAATTTCTAGTCTCATCTTTACAATCTTAAGACTATTCACTGCTCTCCCAGTGGGAGAAAAATCACTAAAATACCAGCTCAAGCTAGAGCCTTTGCTTCAGATATCACCCTGAATTTATCTAATCTATGCAGCAATATGGGTACACACCTACATTCACTTCCCAGATACAGAAGTGCATATTATTTAGTCAAACTCAAAGAGAGCAGCCAAGGCAACTACTCAGGGCTCTCAACAGCTTCCCCGCACTTGGAATGCTCCACGCCAGCTCTGGAAGAGATCATTTCATAGCCACTTACCAGAAAAGCTTTTTGCTTGTAAACTGTTTGCTGCAATTAATGTTTCTCTTTGATTCTGTTTCAGAGAAGGCAGGCACACAGACTCCAGCTACAGAACAGTGCCACAGGCTTGCAGTACAAAAGCCACATCAACACATATCGATACCCTTGTTGCACTGGCAGAGCCTTTTCCCATTGCACAGACTAGGTCTGGTCAAACTGGATGATATGGACTCGCCAGAGCTCCTCTGATTAGCGCTACTTAAGGAGAAGCTAGAATGAAGCCCCTCGATTCCACTCCCACTGTAACTCACCCCAAATGAGCTTTTCTGTACTAAAAGCTCAAAGTACTGCTGTTAGAAGATCTCAATATCCATTTATTGGCAACACTCAGAAAAGCAAGCACAAGCCTGATGAAAGTGACAGGCATATCATTACATGAACTCTCTTCAGACTAATTCCTGAACTATCACCCTGTCCGCACTTAGGAAGAAATTAAACCCAGCTCTCCTGTGGTAAAAGATCCAGGCAAGTAACCAGCTAAGCCCCATCATAAATACACGTTCTGGGATGGTGATGCCTGGTGTCCTAACTAAGGTAGCTCACAAACTACAAAATCTACCTCAAGCTCATAAATACATCTCTAGCTTAGTCAGAGCCAAACATGGTTTATGTCCTAAGAGGATGTATTTAAACTTTTTGCAAGGCAGCCTAGAATTCAGTCTCCAACATCACAAGAGTTTTGCCCTAAACATTCCTCCCCAGGCTATTTCAAGTGCAATTGTTATAAAAAAAAGACACCAGATCATTCTCAAAACATGTGAACAGACTTGTGGTCAGACAATGCAGCAAGTGCAAAAAAGCCAACGCAGTCCTCATGGCAAAAACGCTCTGAGCAGACAAGTCAAGATTTATGAAACACACTGAACTGAAAAAAGCCAAAGTACTTACAGGAAAAGAATAAGGGGTGGGAGAAAGGAGGGTATTAAAAAAAGACACAGTGATATATCAATTTTCATTCACATTCCATACATCTGAGCAAACAACTTGCATGCAATGCGCTTAGAGAGAAATTAAAGATTAAGAAGTTTCAACTTTTATAGCAGAAATAAGGCTCTTCTTTTCCCTTTGAAATACAAACCAATCCCACGTTATTGGAAATCGGAGAGCAGTTCTACCAAGAGTGGATAGAGATAAATTAAACAAGTACTTCATCATATAAACAGTTTATCAAAGAACAACATAAGCATCAATGTGTTTGTAGACATGGGAGAAGAGATCATTTTTTGCACTACTTTCTCCATTTGAGGATTTTAGTGACCCAGTACACAGTTGACCTTGCTCTGTTCATACACTTTGAATTAAACTCCAAAAACTGTTTTAAAGCAAAATGCCTTGCAGATTCAGTGGCGATCCTACAATATGCCACAAGCAGTAGTGCAAAGAAAACCCTTTGTTGTGCAACTTCATCACACTTCTATACTTTCTGTGCTTTTCCAATTCATATAGGTATCTTCATGCTGATAAATTCTTACCTTAACAAATTTACTATGCCCTGTACACACAATGGAAATGAAAGGGCCTATGCTGCCTGCACTGCTGTAAAACCAAGGCTATGGCAGGTCTAGTTCCCCGAGAGATGCTCTTTTCTGACTACCAGCTGCCATCTGTCGGTACAGGACAGAGCCCAGCCGCTGCTGGCTCATCCTCGGCGTACTGTGGCTTTTCCCTGGACATCTTCCAAACCCCTCCAAGGATCAGCTCTCTGCTTCCGTATTTGGACAGCCAGCAAACAGTTTGCTGCTCTTCCCATGGAGAAGCAACCCTACTGGAACATGGGTAAGATGTATATCCATGGGTTAAATGCGTTAAGTCAACTTCCTGACATTAATCCTTGAGCAGATCAAAATAAAGCAACCGCCAGCTGAAACCTCCAGTGCATGCTCCCAGCCCACTCCTCACTTGCACCTGAGTTAATCTGGGTCTAGACAGAAAGGTATCCAGGTACTACTCAAATCTCAACTGCACTAAGCACACAGCCGGGTATCACAAAGGTGGGAAGGAGCATATCTAGATCCCTCGCTGCAGGACTCAGGAAGGGCAAAGCAATCACATAAATCAAGCCAATAAAGTGCTGCTGCAGCTTTTACTGAGCGCTCATTCAAAAAAATTCAGACAATGGTTTAGATGTGACATAACATATGTTAAGCAGTGTAATTACAGATCTTTAAACAGAGCATAATTTTTTTAAAAATTAAACACCATAGCCAGAAATAACAGTATCAGACATGCTTTCTTAATTAATACAGCCATATATCTAGCTGCAGGAGGGGA